ATGTTATTTTCATTATTCCAATTTTACTAGAAGAAAAGGATATGTTTCTTTGTATGTGAAAGAAAAAAACGCGAATGATTTTTCAGATGAGTGCGTGTATTTACAAAAGCCAAATCTACATACGACTTCAAAGCATTTCCAACTTTGTTACTTAAACCGATGCTTTGAGTTTTTAATTCGTTAAATATGAATTTCACTGTATCATCAATGAGTCATATTTTAAACTAATACTTTCACAACAAAGTGTGCGATTATAGAATATTATTGTCCGCAACTTTTTTCAAAATTTTATCAGAAAAACATAGAAGCTGAGAAATTTATGTTAGATTTTTTAAATTTATGATCTTTCTTCTAATTTACCAACAGCGAAATCGAAAAGATTGATACGAAGCATATTGACATACAGTGTCTTACAAAAGTGATGGGACACTTGTGCTTTACAAAAGGAAACTGTAAAATAAATTTTAAAAAATGAAAAAATTTTTTGTGAGTGTGTTTCATACTGAAATTTAGTAACAATTATTACATAACATACATTTTCTCAAAACATTAAAATATTAATTTAATAAAAATACAATTGTTTAGAACGGAGCAAAAATTGGCTCACATAAGTGATGGGACACTTACTTTTCCATCAAATATTTATCCAAAAATTTTACTTTTTAAAAGGTTTTTAATATTTTGTTGGATTTCCTTTTACTTTTAAAACATGATTTAATCTTCTTGGGATGGATTCGACTAATTTTTTTGTGATTTCTGGAGTGATTTTACCCTATTCTTCTTGAAGCACCGATTTTAATTGTTGTTTTGAAGAAATGGTGTGTTTGCGAATTCTTGATTCCAATTCTTGCCAAATATTCTCTATGGGATTTAAGTCTGGAGATTGCGGTGGTGTTTGTATTATTTCAGGATAATTACACAGCAGCCAGAGGTCTAACGTTCAAAGCAGTGTGCTTGGGGTCATTGTCCTGGTAGAATTTAAAATCGTTATGAAGGTTCAATTTTCGTGCTGAAGATTTCAAATGATTAATTTGATTTAAAATGTCAATATACTTGTACTGATCCATTATACTGTCAATAAAAACAAAATTACCAACGCCAGCGGATGACATACACCCCCATACCATAACTCCTCCTCCACCATGTTTTACTGTTGGCACCAAGTTCTGTTTGCGAAATTCTTCTCTGGGTTTTCTCCACATGAAGATTCTACCGTCAGAACCAAATATATTAAATTTACTCTCATCAGCAAATATAACTTCATTCCAGTAATCAGAATTCTTATTTATGTTGGATTTTGCGAAAGCCAGTCTAAGTTTTCTATTCTTTTTACTCACGAAGAATTTTTTCCTGGCTGCTCTACCGTGATATCCAGCAGATCGAATTACCCTTCTAATAGTCTCAGGATTAATAATTACTCCATATAATGCTTGTAAATCAGCAGCAACTTTAGGAGCACTCATTCTTGGATTTTGTTTTAATATTTCGAACGATAATTCGCTTTATTCCATTGGATAGCTTTGATGGTCGGCCAGGTCTTCTTTTATCCTGAATCATATGATTATTTTTATATCGTTTAATGATATTGAAAACTGTTGAATGACTCAAGTTAACTGTTTCAGAAGTTTCTGTAATAGATTTTCCACGTTCAATATGCAAATTAATTACTAATTTTCGAATTTCAGGCAAAGTTTCTTTTCGTTTAGCATTCATGGCTGCACAGAGCTAAAAAACGCAAAAATTCCAAAACAAACTGGAGAGAAATACTGCAGACGATTTTATAAATTATTGCCAATTGCTTTTGAGTAAAAATAAAAACCCCCAAAAATATCTTTATTGTAGTATGTAGTAGTATCTAATGGTGTCCCATCAGTTATGTGAGTCATTTTTTGCTCCATTCTAAACAATTGTATTTTTATTAAATTAATATTTTAATATTTTGAGAAATGTATGTTATGTAAAATTTTTACTAAATTTAAGTATGAAACACACCCACAAAAAATGTTTACATGTTTTTTAATTTATTTTATTACAGTTTCCTTTTGTAAAGCACAAGTGTCCCATCACTTTTATGAGACACTGTATATTTTTTCTTGCCAATAAAATAATTTTAATCATGGGTAAAATTTTTAGGCTATCTTTCGCGATTTAACGACAGAATTGCATTCCTTAATAAAAAATCTATTCTTTCTGACCCTTCGTTCTGGCTCTTAATAAGGTTACTGGATGTGGGCGACGTTTTGAGATCTTTGATGAAATGTGTTCCGACTATTCTAAGATTTGTCCCTGAGCCTTTGTCTCCTTTTCGATGAATTTTTCAGTTGCTAAGATATTACATAACAGTTGAATCTATTTTCAGATTACGTAAGAGTACGTAAAGGCTGAATCTATTTTCAGCCACTCACATGAACGTTATGGTGGTCTGAAATCCTAAAGGATTATCAGAGGAAAAAAAAGTTTTGAATCTATGCCATGGAGAGAGAATCACCTTTCTTTTCTCCTTCAGTGTTATCCTAAGTATAGGATTTCATGAGCTCGACAGTTATTCGAAATTCTTTATCTAGATAGTTTATCTTTCCTTTTTTAGAAGAACATCATAATTTTTATAACTGAATTCCTTGTCACCATATACAGTTTAATTTTAATGTACATTTTTTTAATGAAATTTTTAATTCTGTTACACGCTTCTTGAATTAGTATTTAGGACATTCGTATTACTTGATTTAATACTTTAGCGAATTATTATATTAGCTCAAATGGGCTGTTAGTCTCGAAACGGGATCTAACGTAGCCTATTATAAATGGAGAATCGCTTTTCAAATTGTTGCCACCAAATATTATCCCTGTATTATTTTTAAGCAAATTAAATGATAAAAAAACTGCATGAATGTGTTTATGTGTTCCTCGCATTGTGAAAAAATGGCGGTACTTAGAGCCAACAAATTTTGAATAACGTAGTTCCACCACCCGAATATATGCACCTGGAAGACCGAATTTTATATTTCATATTTTGTAAAATACGTTAATGATAAAAAGACAAAAAAAAAAAAAAAAAAAAAAAAAAAAAGTTTTCTAAAGCCATCCTAGAAGCAAGCTGAACATCGATATGATGAAATGAGAAAGACTGAAAAACAGAAGAGTGTATGCCAACACTTAACGCCGAATCGAGAATTCTAAATGTATACTGCTATGCTGCTTTTAAAATTTTGTAATTGTGCTGCCGTACTATATATGACTAAAGTGCGGAAAAATTATGCTTAATAATAAAGCTAAACACACACACACACACACACACAAAAAGGGTTAATAGAAGTGAATGTAACAGCAGACTGGTAGACTGCAAGCTCAAAGAGAGCGTAAAAAACCTTAAAAAATCCTTTTGTGTGACCGTTAACATCTGAAACATTTCATTTTTTTTTTTTTTAAATGGTTAACGTGTAAGGACTTGTGTTTCCTCTTTATTTGCGTTGGAAACATCAATGATCCTGAATAGGAACAGGGAGCTTACTCAAGCTATGTTCAAGAAGGTGTGAAGTAGACAACACAAGCAGGAAGGGTATACGAAACCCTTTATTTTCAATACTTTAGAGGTATTTCTGAACTTCGGAATACAGAGACCAACCACTTGTGGTCTGAACGTAAGAATATAAAAACTACTAACTAAAACTATAACTGAAAGCTAACTTTGAATTAGTATACAAATGCCTAGCACTGACTGGCCTTTATTTAAAAAAGGTACGTATGTAGTACGCCAAGCTGCTAAAACTACGATACGTCTGCAAATATCAAGAGGGCTAAACCTCTGGCCTTAAAGGCAACCAGAAACCGAGTTTTAACTAAAACTGGTTGTTAACCTAAAACTCCTTCTCACTCTCTCTTGGCAAAAAGCCACAACTTAAGTACTTGGTGTTAGCAAGACAATTTGCATAAACAAGTTAAAGCATTTAATTCTGGTCGGAAGTAGAAAATAAGAAGTGATAGTACAGTTTTAAAATAAAATAAACGTTAGTAAAACTTAGGATCCTTACAAACGATTCCGATAAAATGGTGTGATAATTATCAACGTATCCGTTTATTAATGCTTAAGATTTTAAATGTTACTAAGCTACATCATGTATACGAGAATATTGATTATAAGTTAGAAACACTTAAAAGATAATTTTGTTGCGTACGGGTTGTAGTTGGATTATTGGATTGAATGCCCATGGAACTGAGGATAGCTCGATGATTGTTTTTTTCAAACGTACTTTACAGTTCTAGAACTCTTCACACAAACGTACTCACACATATCTTCTCAATATGACACAGTCAGTTGTAACCACTCTAAGCCACTAAGAATGTTGAACGCAAGGCAACACAAAGTGCCTAAATTGCGTAAGCTTGCACAAAGAAATCTCAGTATTCTTAGGTAAACTCTGAACTCAACTAAAAACTGGTGACTTCTTCGTCTCTTATATAGTTTTCCCCCGTTCGCCGAGAAATTTCCAATACCTCCGATTTCTTGAAATTGCTGCAAGGCATTACAGTGCCATAAGGCCGGGTACAGTTACAGTTACATAGGGATCAGTTGAGTTACAGTACGTACGGATCGGAGAAATATGTCGCCAAATGGTCGACAAGTACCCTGACATTTAGCGATTTCTCGCCAACTTTTGGGCCAACAAATAAGCACCAAAACCAACGCCACCTTGGCGCTTGATTTATCTCAATGTTTAGTGGACTTCTCCGGTAACTCTGTCTTCTCCCTCTTGAAGTCTACCATGTTACATTATATAAAATATACTGAAATGTGCATATTATTTCACTAAAATTATTTGCATATATACAAAATTCGTAACAATATTTATATCGCTAATGAAATAACATGTAATATTGATATCCCTCGGCTAATGAATTATTCTTCTCATGAATAATCATTTTTCACTTATGTTTTTATTGTATAACAAAGTATTGTTTTTTTTATTCCAGGTGAGCCGTAAGCGGCTGGCTGGAAAGTGACGATGAAGGAAGAATCGGAGGGGGATGGCGGAAGCAATGATGTCCCGACCTCCAGAGATGCAGACAGCACTGTTTCGAACGGCAACACCAATGGACCTGCATCGGTGGTCTCAAGCCAGCCGCGAAGACTGCTTTCGGATCGACCACCATCCATGGGGGTCACACTCGCCGCTTTGGGTGCCGAAGTGGCTAGCAGTGCTCTTGCTTGTACTACTATTGCCGAGCATGGTAATTTACCATTAGGCGGAACGACTTTAGCAAATGCCCTTCGAGGAATGGCCATGGATGTGAACCGACGTTCGAATGGGAGCCCCAGCAACAATGGAGAATCTATCATAGGCGGTATTCATTCTACAAATTCCAACAATGGCGGAAAAAGTGGAAAAGGTGATAACATCGGACAGAATAGAGACAAAGTGTTTGTATGCAATATTTGTAACCGCTGTTTTGGTTACAAGCACGTTTTGCAGAATCATGAGCGTACTCATACGGGAGAAAAGCCTTTCGAATGCAAGGAATGCCACAAGCGATTCACGAGGGACCATCATCTCAAGACACATATGCGTTTGCATACAGGGGAAAAGCCATACCACTGCGATCACTGTGATCGGCATTTCGTCCAAGTGGCCAACTTACGCAGGCACTTGCGAGTGCATACGGGAGAACGACCATATGCATGCACAATATGTAATTCTCGATTTTCTGATAGTAATCAACTTAAAGCTCACATTCTCATACATGAAGGAAAGAAACCGTATGAGTGCGAGAAGTGCAATGGACGATTCCGTCGGCGGCATCATTTAGTTCATCACAAATGTCCGAAAGATGAAGCTAACATTGGGAAACCTAGAAGAGGTCGCCGCCCTAAAGCATACGATCAGCTCCCATCGAATTTGCCTATACTATCACCAGTTCTTCAGGAGCGATTATCTACACCCATTCCTGAACTTCCACCTCCCCCACTGCCAGTAACAATAACGTCCGTTATAACAAAAAATAATTCACCTCCTTTGCCTCCTTTGCAACTCCAACAACCACCTGTGGCTCACATGCAACAGCCGAGGAGAAATCACATTCAAGCTCCTTATCATTTAAGTCTTGCCCAGAACTTAAATGGTCGATTTCATGATATCGTACAGACGGGTCCTTTGGATATGACGGTGTCCTCTGCACCAAATAATTCTGTTTCAGTAATAGTGCCTCGAATACCTCAGCCATCTGCTTATCATCCTAATAGCTCCCCGATGGATGGAGTGCTGGACTTGTCCAACTCGCGGAGTGATTCAGAGGCTGAACCCATCGAGGAAGAAGTGGACGAAGAAGATGAGTGCATAGATGAAGGAGTGGACTCAGAGTGCGAGGACGAGGATCTTCAGCATCTTCGTATGATCGATGACCCCTGGCAAGGGCATGGCTACCACCAGCATCATCATCATCATCATCTAGATGATGTTCAACAAGGAAATGGTGAAACGTACGAAACGTACAATAGCGAAGGAGAGAACAGTAACATGGCGCTCCAGCTCACCACTTCCTAGAAGTATATCATTTTCCGAGTTCATTTGCTTCAAATCAGGGATTAAGTGTTCTTTATTGACCGTCATTCAATATTTTTAACAAGAAACTACCTCAGAAGGGTGGTGGGTTTTACATCAGCAACTTCCATGTGACCTGTCTGACATTTGCAACCTCGGAAGCCAGGATATTATGGGTTTGACACTGTTGGGTGTAACGCTTGTCCCAACGCACAAAATTATTTTCACCTTTTGTACAATTGTCCAAAGCATTGTACAAAGAGCTTTCCATACCGTCATAGGCGGAACACCAGAAAAGTCGAATGATTTCCAGTTGAGATTTTCTAATTGTTTTTACAAGAATTTAGAGGACTTTTTTACAATATTATATGAGGGGTATTCATTTTTATTTTGAAAGCCATCAGATTGATTAAAAAAGAAAAAAACATATCCTGGCGCAGAAGTTAAGAAATTCAACAAACTTCGGGAAATAGTATCGCTAATTAGAAGTAATATTTTACTTAAAACGCTCTCAGGAATACTAGGTGTACTCTAACCAGGCTCTAAGGTTGTAATACACTGGTGATAAAGGAATCAAAAATGCAATGTCAAAAAGAGCACTGCACATATTCACTGTGCAGCAGTCAATTATGTTCCTAAATGAATCAAAAGTAACCTATTAGTGTCATTGTAGACGTGCTGAGGGTCACTGTGTTCAATGTCTGTCAGAACTCAGTGATCCCACGCCTTGCCTGGTTAGATGATTACATTGAAAGGCAGGTCACATGTGTGGCTTTTGATTTCGAGAGAATGCTGCTGAGTCCACCTTCCAGAGAGAATTCTTTATATATACCATTAATACAGAGATATATAAATATATATATTTATTTTGTGCTCGTTACCCTTTTCCTGGTGATGTTCTTGCCCATCAGGCTGAAAATAATGCTAAGGAATGCTCTCAGGTGATTGAAGGTAAGGATAAGATATTTGTGTTGTTTTTAAGAAGTTCTGTACTTTTTTTTTATGAGCATAGATATAGGTGATATGTAAAGCTCACTGCAATAGACTCTATTCAAAGTCCTTGCAAATGATGTAGCATTTTGCCAGGATATGTACACGAATAATGGAACATCTGCATGTCTTCAAAAGAACGATGCACTTAAATTTTAAATCCCGCACCCTGACTATAATGTTCTAAATTTGTAGATATATAAATACACGCATATATCATTATTTATCTGTACACGAGATAAAACTCGCTTTTGAAACATAACCCAAGCTCACTAAGAAATATATTTTTTATTTGCTTGTCATGTACTGAAATATATTTTCCATCACTACTTTCGAAAAATTAATAAAAATTATTTTCTGAGCCACAAAAGTGAAATATATGTAGATTGGAATTTTTAAAAATGCGTTTAGAATTTAAATAATGAATGTTTTATTCCTACGAAACAATTATCCAAAAAGTAAATGTTAATATTTGTTGAATCTTTAAGTCTAAATTTCGAAGAGCTACCTAAATTATAATTTTTCGAACTGGCTAAAAGAAAATTTATTTGTCTTTCTTTTTCCCATTTATTTACTTAAGGGGACTCATACACCTTAAAACCAATAAGATATTCGAATAGGTGACTGTTGCGAGAGTTGGGATAACTTATTTATTTTAAAAGCAATTACTACCAACTTTTTACAGCTGACTACATAATATAGCTGCTTTCTGAAATAGTCATCAGAAAGTTTGTGTTGCCACAAATATTTTTATAATTTAATCCCCTTTGTGACAACATTTTTCGTCATGTTTCCAACTTGCGCGCACAGTTTACAACATTCTGTTTCATAATTTGATTTTATATTTAATATATAGCTTTTATAACATTTGGAAACTACTGTGAACCTAAAATTCTAAAAATTTCATGTTAAATTCTTATTTTATTTTGAGTTGAGTTTATAAAATGTATTTTATTAAAACATTTTTTAATGTTTTCGCCCATAAAATTTTCAATATTAAAATATTCATCAGATTGTTGGTTCAGTTAGAAAATAGTGCCCATATAAAGAATTCCATCAAATTTCAAGTATTTACCATTAGCCATTTTTAAAATATCATGCGCGCAAGGTGGAAACACGGCGAAATATTTTGTCACAAAGGGGATTAAATTACAAAAATATTTGTGGCAACACAAACTTTCTGGTTACTAGTTTCCAAAGCAGCTATATTATGTAGTCAGCTGTGAAAAGTTGGAAGCAATTGCTTTTAAAATAAATAAAATATTCCAATTCTTGCAACAGTCACATATTCGAAGATCATGAGGGGTTTAAGGTGTATGAGTCCCCTTAAAGAAACTTAAATGATGACGAATAATTCATATTTATGTTTGATATCTGAGCAGGCATTATAATTTAATTAAAAGATAGGAGTTTTGCTATTATTTAATGAGAGGCATTCTTTACACATTTCAGCATTATCTTTGAGTGATTAGTTAACAGCAGGCAAATGAATTGATTTATAATTAGCTAACATTAAAATATAAAAAAGGGAAGATAAAGAATCCTTTTTTTCCCCCAAATCTGGCTTGCAGCAAGTGTGGAAAATTTTATTTCAGTCATGGATGCAGTACCTTTATCGCATATTATAAATAATCTGTTATACACTGGTTTTACGAACTTGTATTCGTTAGTGTCATTTTAAAAAAATGCTTCTCCTTTTCTATCATCTCTTCCTGTTTACTCTTTTCTATTCTATAAATCATTTCGAAAGGATATTGATGCGACCTCACCTGAGAAACGTTGAAAGCCTTAAAAGTACAGAGAGCATTTGGTCTAGATCTTAATGTATTTTTATCCCCTTTTTCGATGCTCAATCTCCATGCGAAACTTCTGCCAAAATCTTCTACGGAAGATCGCAGAATCAATGATCCAGGCAAAACTCTGTTGTTCATGTACATAGTACCTATAAACTTTCATTTTTTGCTGAATAGTATTTACAGAAAAACCGAAAACTGAGCTTTGTTTCATGTGTATTATAAAAGTATTATATAACCGGCCGAAGGAGTTAGTGCCGGTTTAAAGCTCAGTTTGCGATGTTTTTCGTGTCGAACAATCATTTAAACATTCTTTTGTGTCATAGATGGCTGAAGTACGTAAATGTTATAAACGTTAAAAAAAATTTTGTTTTTCCAAAATATGTATCTAACATGTTTGGTAATTCAGACTACTTTTAAATCTTTTATGTTGTAAATGTTGATATTTAAAGTCAATATTTTCTAGTTCCTATGGCAAATATATAAATGGACATATGTGCTTATTTTTCCAGAGAAGCGTATATTTAAACAGGTATATTATTATAAGGTTGTGGGCAAATGTAGAGTAGCAACGGGAATAAATCATTTTTTTTATTTATTTATAATGAAAAATTTTTTTATGTAGTTTCTGAAGCATTTTTCGATGTTACTCAAATGCATTATTCAAAATATGTAAAAAAAATTACAAAATTTTAGAATAAGTAATAATAATAATAAGCATAATGAAGTAATATAGTTACGAATTATTTTAATTACAAATTAATTTCAGCATATACCTGCTGAAGGGCCACAGTATGTGCATTTAGTAACATCGATTCTTCAAGAGGTTTATTGTCAGATTTCTTTAAAAGATGCAAAACAATGCACGTAACCAGAGAAAAGTGTTGACTATGAAACACAAATTTTTATTCCAACTTTGTACCTGATAGACTAGTTCAGCTGTGTTTCGAAAAATATGTGCATTGTTTTCCGTTTTTTAACAACCCATTTTTTTGGATCTAACATGCGGTGACCAAATTTCTTCCTGTGATGGTCAGTAAAGATGTCTGGCCGGAAATATACTGCAGACTTAAGACTCCAATGAAAATTTCTTTTAGACTGCTTATTCATGCGAGTTAATTTTCAAAGACATTTCTGACTAATGCCAAATATCAGCCAAATTCAGAAATGCTCTTTAAGCCAAATCCAAACATGCTTATAGAATACAAAATATTCAGCAAAAAGCAGTGCCTTCTGTAGTTTCTAGTCTAACTAATCGTCCATTATTCAAATTTTGCTTAAATAATTCCATCAAACTGGATTTTAAGTGAAAATTCTAGACACATTTTGGTCACCGTCATGTAATGCCAGTAATCTAGAGCAGTGGTCTTCAAACTGTGCTCCGTGGAACGCTGGGGTTCCGTGAGTCAGACCCCAGAGTTCCGCACCAAAATAAAAATTCGGACATTTTGGTAACCGTTATGTAATGCCAGTATTCTAGAACAGTGGTCTTCAAATTGTAACCCCGAGCCAAACTGCAGGGTTCCACATCAAAATAAAAATTCGAAAAGCACTTTTCTCACTAGCCGACTAGTGTTTGTTAATTAAAAAGCATAAAGATCAATTTAGTTACAGATTAGCTTTAAAACTTAACATGTGGTCATGTCATGTCAAAGAGAATGACGTGCTATCCTTTGCAAAACTAAACAGTTTTCTAATGTAAAATGAATTAAATTTAGACGACAGTGTCATCAGTTATAGAATGAAGTATGTTTTGACTTGAAGAAAACTTGTAATGTTCCCACTTGGAATTTACAGCTAAATGTGTGGAGCCTTGAGAACTGGTAAGCGAATAATCGCTTTAGCTCAGAGAACAGAAACCCAAGAAGGGTTAATTACCGTTCATTGCTCAAAATAAAATTTACAGATGGCCCTTCCTCAGGACGTACAGAACAGCCTCCACTTGGGCTTTAACTCAAGAATAATAAGAACCAAAACTTAACTAATGCTTAACTAAAAAGATATAGCCGAAGCTATCAAAATTCTACAGGAGTTGGCCCTTAAATGCTAACTAAACGGTGAAGCTATCAAGGGCCTGAAATACGGCCGAACGTAGCTTAGAGAGAGAGAGAGAGAGAGAGAGTAGCCCAAAAGGAGAACGTGCGCTAGTCTAGAATCTCTGGCTCTCTAGCGAAGTCAGTGGAACTTCGACTTTAAGTACTGCTCTTCCTTCATTTGAATTTAACCGCGATTCTGAAAATATATTCTGGTAGGAAATTGTAAGCTGAAATTAGGAAGGACAGGAAAGTGGCTTTAACTAAAAATAATTGCTAACTGTAATTGTTAGGATAAACCTTACAAACTATAAAAGTATATTTTCCAGAAGACGAAATATAGCATGAGTGGATAAAAAAATAATTATGATATATCAGAAAGGGCGCCATAGAAGGAAAGAAAACCACTTATTGATATATCAATAGATTTGTTAAAA